CTGAGTCCCCCACCCACCCACCCCCAATCTCCGGAGGCTTACATGTCACTACTGGCCTACAGAATATCTCACATTTTCCTCGTTGCTTTCCAACAGTTCTCCTAAACTGAAACCACAAGGAGTAAGGCAAGCAACAGATCGAATCAAATGAGTTCTTTGGCCTCAGAAGGAAGCGAAAGGCCATTGCTATGATGCAAAATCAACAACAGGACGATGTAACGGAGGAGTCGTGTGAGAGGAACGGGAGACAGAACAGCAAGCCGACAGAGCTGCGGAGTTTGGCTGTTAGCGGGATCAGAAAAGTAGAGGGAGAAATGAAGGGAAAGATCCTGCAGGGAGACCAAACTTGGAAGGAGGAAGAACCAGCTTGGCTCTGTGATGGTGCTGACTTCCAGTTACAGCCAGACACCAGACGGCTCCACGTGGCAGAGAGCCATTACATTACTATTGAATTTAGAAACAACTGCTGAGAGAGAAAACTTTGCACATTTGTAAATGAGCGTAGATAAATTTTGACATAAAACATGTTTCTATGAGCCTGAACTCTCTCACTAATATGTTCAGTGTGATGAAATTTAAACAGGCCTGAGTCCTGGTGAGACTTTTTCCAGCCTCTAGGGAAGGTGTCTGTTAAATTCGGTACACATGTCCGTGGTGCCCAGAGGACGACTCCTAATGATCTTGGTGATCCTCTTTCATTTAATTATTGTTTATTTGTAAGTGACATAAACACACACCACGACATTTATGGCCAAAGCACGACATACATTAAACTTAACAAATACACAAAATACACATGCAGGCAGTACAAAACAAATAACTGTTTTGCCATTAAAACTTGGTACATTTATTTCCCTCCTCAGGATGAATTCTAATAAATGAAGTGACATTATTTAGCTTCACCAATTCATGATCAATAATATGGCTCAGCTGAAGTTTGTGTTGAGTTTGGTGCTAATTAGCAAATGCTAGCATGCTAAAACGAAGAGGGGAAACATACCTGCTTAAATTCAGCATGTTAGCATTGAGCTCAGAGGCGTGACTGTAGACTCTCTTGACGGGCAACCTTCAAACACAGTCCATGGAGTCATCTAAAATAAGAAATATGGTTTACTGTCTTTATGTTGCATGACTTCTGGGTAATGAAGTTCTCAGACTTTCAGAAATGATCTCTGACTTCCTATACTTCAGAATCAGAATCAGAAATACTTTATTATTAGTAGGTAATTAGTATTAGGGAGCTGTTTCTTCGTGCAGCTTAAACCCAGAGAAATAAAGCAATTAATTTGTTGAAAATAAGATGTTTTCAGACCAAACATGTTGTAGACTGCCTTTGCACCCCCAATAAGCTGTTGGTAAAGCAACTTTACATCTGCGTGACGTACAACATCTAAAGCCCTGGACTCCACTGTCAGTCCATTTGTCTGTATTTCGTTCCATTTTTTAAGCCCAAAGTTACGAGCTATCTTTACACAGATTTTTAAAAATGGTGGTTGCTGGTGCTGCATCGGCTCATATTGACCGTACAGTTAACTTCACTCAAGGTTCCTCTTGTGCTCGGAAAGTACCTACTTCTTGCAGTGCGGACACCATAAAAAGCGGGGGTCCCTTTAACTGTTCCTCCCGTCTGAAATCTAACGTTTCTCTACATAGTTTGGTTTAGCCTCTGGCCTCGTCTCCATACACTAATGGAGCAGAGAGTTTTCTCCTAATCTTGTTTTCAGCTCAGTGCAGTGATGTGTACAGGCTTTATCTTCTCACTAACATGGAAGAGACACTCCCTGCAGGCCCTGTCAAAACCTTAATGGACACACATGCACAGAAAACGCGCAGACATGCATGCAAACACACACACATATATATACGCACGGCGCTGTTAAGTCTTAACCTTTTATTCTCGGATACAAAAAGACACTCCTCAATAACAATAAATCCTTCAACCAGAACCACCAAAGCAGGGAGTGTGTTTTGGCAGAGGCGCAGGAAGAATGGAAGCCTACTTTCACTCCATTTGTGAGCTCACTCGCTCATGCATGTGTGAACCTCCCCAACACTTCTGCCAGTAGTCACACACACCCCCTTGTCTTTGTCCAGACTTCCACTGTCAGCAGTTTTTGTTGAGATGTGTCCCGACTGCATGCAGATGATCTATGACGACCGACTGTGCTTCCTCTTCTCTCACCGCAGCACTGACAGACAGAGGAGGAGTCGGATGGATATGGTTTTTAAGCTAAGCCGCAACATTTCAGAGAGAAATAATGTACTTTTTACTCACACGCCACATTTATTTAACACTTAAAAATGTGCATCTAAAGCCTGATAAGCTTTAAAATGCATTATTATAGATTAAATTACCCAATAGTATATAAACTGTCTCCAGCTAAACCCAGGAACATTCAAATGCTGCTTAAATATTAAAGTGTCAGTGAAAATAGTCCAACATAATATGTTAAATAACAATATAACAATGAGTTCTGTTGATACTTTAAATGTGGGACATATGCTATCAATGCTAAACTTTAAAATAATGTGGTACAACTTCCAAATTGGACTATAACAGGGAAGATTGTTCCAGCTTTAGATTTGTGATGTCGTCCAAATTAAATTATAACCCCAGGTGCAGAAATTCCTCAGCCAAAATGAAGAAATAAAACAAAAGGAGACCCAAAGCCAAAAGAAAAACTGCACCTTCAGTTGTTAGTTTTGTCTTTCTCATCTCCTTTTGTTAAAAAAGGATCAAATACAGCGTTGCTTTCGTGCTTGAGCATGTTGTGTGTAGTTTACTGACATTTCTAGATTTTGGGGGGCATGTAAAGTTCAGACATGTTTCTCAGCTTCATGCACTTTGTCTATTTGACCCTTATTTGATATTACAAGCCTCCCAAAGTTGGCCTGTAACCGGAATGTGCGCCGACTGGACTAACGACATGTGCATCTAATTAGACTCATTAGACCGAATAGACATGTGAATCCATTAAAAGACGTGAGTCATCCTTTTCAGGGCTGCGTATTGTGTTGAGACTGTTGATATGTGGCCTCATTCTAGTCTAAAGAAACCTTTTTGCTTTTCCCATAAGTGCCCTGTGTTTCTTCCCGCTTGGTCTGAATTCATTTACACAAGCTTAGACACAGACACTGCTATCTACACTAGGAACAGGGAAGTCTGCTCATGCATCAACATGAACACTATCGCTGAGGGGGGAGACTGAAAGCAAAGTGACAAAGAAAGAATAAAGAGTGAGAAACAAGAGGAAGAAGATAAAAGGAGCAGTTTTCATTAGAAAACGGAGGTCAAGCGGAAAGAAATTAATAAAAATAAAGAACAAGGGGTGAAGGAGTGCAGCTCTGTAATCTCTCTCTCCTCATCAGCGCTTGTTATAGAGTCATTAGCCGGGCTTTCAGACCGTGACGCTTACAACCTCCCTGAAGGGTACACATATACACACACACACACACACACACACACACATAATTCTACCACAGCCTGCGAGCTACACAACTCTCTCTCAACATTTCAGTTCCCAAAGATGTCTTATTCGACCCGTGCTGCTCAAAATTACATGAAAACATTTTTTAAATTCGGATGGAGGTCGCTACCAAACGGGAGTCGTAGCGAAAGGGGAAAGAAATGATTTCCCCTTCGCCCCCCCAGAGGAATCGTTGACTTAATTATTTCTTATTAGATGTCTCGATAGGTATGCACTATGAGTGTGTGTGTGTGTTCAGTTCGGTTCACCCCAGGAGAAACTCTTCAGGGTCGTTACATAAGGAGTTGTGTTTCAGCTGCCTGATTCTGGCGGCCTCCGTGTGCCAGGACGTTGTCTCATTCCCAATTTCAGAACAGTTCATGTAACATCCAGGGTGTTATTTTATTTTTTTTGACTGTCTACAATTCACTGTAAAACAAATAGGCCGTGTCAGTCAAGGACAGTTACACTTCATGAGTGGAAGCATCTTTAGGGGAAATGTGCGCAAAATCCAGAAAGGAAACGGAGAAGCTGCAAAATAAGATTGCGAAAACAAACTAATATTAAACTAATGCGAGAGGAAAACAGACATTTAAAGTGCAGAGAGAGTGATGCTCACTAGACGACAGCTAGTTTGACTTAGCAGCAGGAATAAATGACGTGTGAATGTCCAAAGAGGCAATAAAAAATAGTAATAAAAGTTATGTTAATATGAATTTATAGGAGCAAAATCAAAACTCAAATTGTTGTTGAAGAGCTCTGTTGTAAGAAAAATTTCTTCACCAAATTACTTGGATGGCAAAGAGGTTTTTGTGGTGGAGTTTGTGGTCTGATTCATCTAAATGTTGTAAATAAATATACTAGCAGGGATTAAGGCCACGTTCTGTGCCGTGATTGTCCTTGAAGGATGCAAAAACTCTTATAATATCTGTGAAAGCTCTGTAAATGGGGGCGCCAGCAGTTTTTAGAGATGCACTTTATATCGAGACTGCTCGGTTCCACTTGTTAACATACGTTAGGGCAAACACAGGCAGCATTGTAGTTGATGGGGAAAGGGTATATAGGGCGCTTTTTATTCATTAACTGTACATATTATTTTCTGCCAGTGAGAGATTTGAACCGCTATAATTGGGTTTGGAGCCTGCGGTCCAAAAACAGCTAGAAAACATAAAGGCAGCATTTAATAATTACACTACGGGTATTGACCAACATCCTGCAGAGATATGGTGTATATCTGATATCTGACCCCTGTGCTAATGCTTTGTTCTGATGTGTGTTTGTTCTGTAGGTGCGTAGCCAGGGTGTCACAGAGGAGCTGAAGTGTCTGAGTTTACTGAACGCTCTGGATAAGGACCAGGACATCCCCGACCAGCTAGCCCAGCTCTTCGGAGAGCCGTGCATCAAACTGGCCGAAGGCATCAAAGCATACATCTCCAAGGTAAGAGAAAATAATTTAATTTTATATTTGTTCTGGAGGAAGAAAATCCTCTTTTATCAGCACTGATTTATCACGAAATCCCCTAAAAGACTATTGTTTTGTAGAATAAATGGCTTTTATTGGTAAAAAACCTTACAATATTAAGAGAATATTGGTAATATATTGTTTTGTCAAGTCAGTTTTGGAGCAGAAATTCTCTCAAATACTCACGTAAAGGAAATGTTCTTAGTAAAAGGAGCTTTTTAGGCTTTTTTGTAAACTTTAATTTGGATTAAATTAATTTAGATTTGTTTTATTTTGTTTTTTGTAAAATAGGGGCAATATTTCCTCACAAAATGATTTAAAATATATAAAATGTTAATAGAAAGTAGTACCACTCCTGTATTCTACTTTATATATCAACTGCTAAATCCAGACTATAATTTAAAATCCATACATTATATATTTAGGATATTAGTGAAAAGTGTATGTGTGTGTGTGTGTGCGGCCGGCTCCTCTGACCCCGGTTAAAGAACAGATGGAGGATGGTTTCAACGTGAAGGAATCTGCTCAGTTACAGCGAGCTGAGAAACATCTGTGGGGTACTTGGTGCAGAACTGAACCTCTGGGTGGGACTAATTGGGCGCATTTGTCATCATAATGGAAAAAAAAAAAAACTCCTCGCCTCTGGGAGAGAGAAACACTCATCAAATATATACTCAGAGCATGTGTGTTGAATTAAAACAAACCGAGATGGACAGTTGACAAGACACAGACTCCGGGTCGTCAAATGACAACACCTCTTTGCTGAATGCTTTTACAGTTACCTGCAGTACCTCAGACGTGTTCGACAGATGGATGAAATTATTGGGTGATGAGTTTCAGGCCCCTGAACTCATCACATGGGTCGTTTTTGGGGCTAAACATTTTTCAAGGATTCCCTCAGTGGCTTTTACCATTTTATGATTAAAAGCAGCAGGTGTGCTGTTTTAAATAATAACAATATGTATATATATACGCTTCCAATATTAACTTTATGGCCTATTTCATCTGCTCAATCACTGAACTTAAGTGTACCCTTTAACCAACGATAAAACACTTAATAAATATACATGTACATAACTTTTCTTGGAAACTGGAACATACTGTATGATGGATTGGGTGGTAGACAACCATTAGCAGTGCTGGAAAATAAGCGAGACACCTAATTTTTCTCGTTTTGTACCTGACATTGTTGACGCTGCAGCATTGGCTGCTCAACGTGTTTTCTAAAGACTTTACTGTCTGAGTAACGGGGACTTAGAGGAGGTTTGTATGCGTTATTTTCTTCATTCTTAGCGTCTGTGGAGAGGTATTTGTTGGTGCGGAGATGAATTAAAGTGTTTGTGGCTCTGTGGCCGAGCCTTTGACCTCCCTTACAAACATGACTTTCTGACTCATGCCGTCTACAGTGCATCACAAAAAACCACCACTGAGCTGTTGTTATTAAAGTTTACCTTCATGTGCTCCAACTTGTGCATACATGAGTCTGTACTTGAGAGAGCTGTGAACCCAGGAGTGTTTTTAGGCACACGTTAGCACACACGCACACACACACACACACACACACAGAGGTGTGTTTTTATTAGCTGTCAAACCGATGCTCAGTGGCCTCGGGCCAGACAGTCAGATACTGTTTAAGTATATGTGGGCGCTTGTTTACAGATTGCCAGGATTGATTGCGATAAACTCAAGTTAAGTGTTCCAGTAAATGTGTCCTATCCTTATCAAACATACTTGAACCTTGAAATAAGCCCTTTTAGTCATTTCTGCTGTAATTTCTAAGCAGATGTTTATTCGTGATTGAATATCTGAAATAATGATTTCCTTTGAAAAACTGTAAATCATGTCTGTGGGTTCAGATTGGACTGAATTATGACACATATTGCAGGGTTTTTAAGTAAGACAACTTTTGTCACATTTTTTCCACATAAGTGCCCTTACTTCTTACTGCCACCTCCCCTGCCAAGTTCAGTTTTTTTTGTAACTCTGTTTTTTAAAGTCCTGCATACAGCAATGCTGGTGCTTCTCAGCTAGCTTAATGCTAAGAAAACAGCACTGAAATTATCCTTGTTAGAAAGGATTTAAAGAATTAGGGTACTGGCATCTTTTTTGGACCAATTTAGGCACTGTTATGGGTCAAACTACAATAACTGACTTCCTGTTGTTTCTACAAACCCAGCACCTTTGCAGCTGTAGCTCAGGTGTTGGCTGAATATAACATCTTCAGGCCTCAGGGTGCCTCTACATCTGTTTGAACTGAGTTCAGGTGTACACACACCTGGTATTACTTGTCATCGATGAGTTGGATCTGATGGAACAGATTGTCTTTGTTTTGTACCAAGACAGGAACTTTTATATCCAATATTGCATATAAAGCTCACAGATACAAACTAGAAACTAAAAGCACAAGTAGGTCACATCAACTGTTAACCATACACTCCCACAGTAAGTGAACAGATAAAGTCGGACTCCCCTTTAGTTTATATGTTGAATCAGCATGAAAATAGCGATGACTCCAAGATGCTGTGGTTCGAGAATCCCCTCCCCCCGCTCTCTCACACCCACACACCCACACACACACACAGAGTCATTCATAAGCCCACTGAGTCACTGAATGGATATAAGTCATCTTCTTGCAGACATAGCCAAGAGGTCTATTCCCATTTAAGTCTGAATGTCTGGACGCTTACAGCTGTAAATCTTCAGCCCCCTCATTTCCTACCACCTACGCACAAACACACACAAAACCACCGACTCTCTTTGTCCTTTTTTATTTAAGTCAATCTCTGTTTTTGAACTACTTTCTTTCCCAATCTGCTTCTTCTTTTCTTTCACCTTCTCCCCTCTTCATCCCTCTCTCTCTCTCCGCTCTACTTGTATGATACAATCGGAGAGAGTGCTGCTCCATGCCCCTGTGGTCCTCACTGGACAGGAACAGGAATGTCTAGATTTTCCTCCAGTGTAAATGGGCAACACATCCAAACAAATTTACATCCCATTATTCTTTTCACACATTCAGACACACGTATTATTGAGCTAATCCAAATCCCATTAATTTCCACATCAGCACTGTGTTTTTCCAACTGTGCGTTTTAACCCCTATCTGCTCCAGTAGAGCATCGCAGTGGCTGACGGTGCAACACAGGTGTCCACTTTTAGTGACTCCTCCAAGCTGATTTTCTTTTTAAACACAGTGTTTGTGTTCTTCGTGAGATGGTGTCAATGGATTAAAGTTTTTAAAAAAAGAAGCTGTTGAAAAAGCCAAAATAGTGGTTAAATCGAGCTGGCAGACCAAGTAGGCGCCATCTCTTTCCTTATAAAATGCTTCAGTGGAAGAACTCGAGATCCAGATTTTAAACCACGCCAACAATCTATATAGCCTTTTACATTTCACACAGATGAATACTGAGGCTGGAGGGCAGTTTTATAATGTTTAACTATGCATAACCTATATAGCAATCAGGGCCTGAATTAACTATGTTTTAGGACACGGAAGTTTCCATTTATCCGATAAATATGGAGGTGACTGAGCATGTGCAGTTAAGCCTTTAAGCCACAACAAGACAGAAGTAGCCGAGAGGTCTGAGAAGGAGCTAAAGATCTGTGGTGCAGGACTAATAGTCCTAAAAAAGTACTATAAAATCAGACCACTGAGAGGCTGTTGAGGTTTATTATGTCTTTTACTGAAGCTGGCAACTGATGGATCCCCTGATAAGTTGCTTTTCCTTATTACTCTAAAGCAGTTCTTCTTGGTAAATGATTGTTTTGCTGAGCCTTGTAGCTCACGTAGTCTGGTTCACTGGATTGGGCTACTGACTTGGCTTTTAACTGGCATTCCTTGGCTGGTTCCTTACGTTCCCTGGTTGGCATCTGAACATCGTAGGAGAGTAACGTCGCTCAAAGGGAACGCTTCCGTTGTTGCACCACCACAGGGTCACAGCTCTGCATCCACATATTTGATGGTGTTTAAAGGATGAGGTTTACATTTTGGGGAATTTGTTTATGTGCTTTCTTTCTGAAAAGGTACATGAAAGGATCCATACCACTCTTGTATCAATCTGTTTAGTATATAAAGTTGCAGCCAGGAGATGATTAACTTAGCTTAGTGTACAGGCTGTCTAAAGGTATAAAAGATCCACCTACCAGAACCTGTAAAGCTCACTAACATGTTATATCTCATTTATTAATCCATAAAATGATCCAAGAGAGGCTTTGGTTTTACCTTTGGAGAGAGGATAACCATTTTATTCTAAGCTAAGCTAACCATCTCCTAACCCCAGCTTGTGCCTCTCATGTTTCTCTAAAAGATAATCAATCAGTGATGTTTTAAACACATTTTAAAAGGACTGAAGGTATTTTTTAAAACCTCAAAGACTCTTCTAACCATCTGGTTTCCAAAACCTGTGACGCTGTGTCTTATCCAGGTACAGGCTGCCACTTTGATTTGGAAACTTAAGTGACCTCCTGGGTTTTTCAAACATCAAGAAACCTGAATGTATGCTAATACACAAGAGGCACAAACTGACGTTGATCATCTTCTGGCTCCAGCTTCAAACAGATAGAACAACAGATAAACCCCAAAAAAGATAAAAAAGATTACCCCAAAATCCACATTCCCTTTATCCGTCAGTGGTGAAGCTCAGTGACCAGAAGTTAATGTCGACCTGCTGTGGTTGTACGGTAGTGAACAGAGGAGGTAACAGAAACAACATTCCCAGGGGGCAAATGTAGGTCAAGTCTGAGCTAAGCCACTTTTAGAGGCCTGCTGCTGCAGCTCGTTGGTGTCTGTAAGGCGTCTCAGCTGTTGCAGCTAACAGGTGCTTGGAGGAAGTGCTGATCACGGCTCCTTACTGCAAATTAGCAACTCAATAAAGCCATTTGATCCAGTGCTCTTTTGTAACAAGTTGAAATATTTTCTGAATTCTGTACTTGGATGGAAACACTAAGCCCTCAGTGCTGGCAGGATTATGAAACAGTGA